TCTATTCATCGTATTATACGAACTAGTTTGTACAGTATGATATTTAATTTGAAATTAAGTCTTAAATTATTCCACTAATCACAGGTTAATTTAAGTATTTAAAGTAAATCATAAAGTACGAAATACTTTGTACAGTACGAACGGGGGAGAAAAAACTTACTTAAGTTAATTTGACGGCTAGGGTTTTGGATTTGAACATATCGTACAGTACGATTTTGATTCGTATGGTATGATATATTCACAGAATTGTCTTACAAGCTCAGATCGTACAGTACGAAATACCTTCATACAATATGATCTACAGAGAAATAAAATCTCTAAAATTTTCTTTTAAAAAACCTTCTCCCCCTGTGTTTGCATGGTTGCTCAGACTTTTATGCAATTTGTGGCTAGACTCAAGAAAATAAAAATAAAATAAATAACAAATTACTTTGTCAGACTCATACTTCTAATCTACCCATTCTTGAGTCTTCCTGTCATCCTGAGTAGCTTGTGATCTTCCTAAAATGTTAGTACTCACGGACAATAGCAAACAAAATAATATTCAATGAATAGATAATTCAGACAACATTAGTTGTCATCAACAAAATCTCAAACTCGGGGTCATGGGTTGTAACAGAATGGATTGACAATGCATAATCCAGAAAAATTAGAAATTCAAAAATTGTTAATCCATGCTCAAGTTTTTTTAAAGGCTCAAAAACTTTTTAATCCAATATCTAAATCAAGGAATAAATTAGAAGAAGAAAGACTAATTTTTCAAAGCTCCTTTCATAAAACATATCTAATAGAAGATTAATGTAAAAATTGGTGAATCAAGAATCATGATTTTCAAAATCAAGTATCAAAAATATCAAGGATTTTCTTAAGCTTTAAGTAATACAAATAAAGTAAGCATACTCTTTGTGGGCTCATTTTATGCATCTTGTCAGTTTTTGGTGTAATTTACGCATCTTTTACTTTTTGATACACTTTGTGTATCTTTCTCAATTTGGCATCATTGCACATCTTTTGATTTGGCATCATTCGCCACTTTTTTGATTTGGCATCATTGGCCTTTTTTTTAATTAAATATGTTACATTTTTGAAATTTTTTAAAATAAAAGTAAACCCATTCTATTGACAAAGCGAACTACTTGATTAAAAAAATTATGAGGTAGATTCAACAACTTGTAAAGATCTCTATGCGATAAACAAAATATAGGGAGATGAAAAAGATCAGTATTAAAATCCAATTTATAATATTATGAAGATTTTGAATCAAAAATAAAATAACCTTTTTAAAAAAAGAGATAGAGAGACAAAATCATGAGTTTTCTTCCTTAGACTATTTTTAGAGAAGTCAACCACAACTTACGTAAGAATTCAAGAAAAATAGGAGGTAGGTTTTTTATTTTTAGAAAGGTGAACGTGTGTGTTGATCAGAGAGAACTTCACAAAAAAAAAGAGAAGATAAATTAAAAAAATTAATGAAAAAGAGAAGAAAAGAAAAAAGAAAGAAAAATAAATCCAAAGAAAAAACATAAAAAAAAAACATAAAAATAAATAAAATATACATACACAGAAAAATAATAACACAAATAGAGGTTTAAATATCATCCTGCTCCTGTTCTGATGATTCAGAAGCTAGGTCTGCCCAAGAGATTTTGCTTTTCATTATTTTTCATTTTTACAATTTGCTTAGCTTTGCCCTTTTCTTTTGTAGGAAGAGTTCTCAAATTAGGGCACTGATTTTTCATGTGTCCAGGCTTGCTACATCCAAAGAAAATAATGTCAGAAGAAAACTTAACATTCTTACCATTTTTATCTTTATTCCACCTTTGTTGATGCTTAAGTTTTGTTGGTCTTTTTAATTTGCTTGATAAGTCATCGCTTTCGTCACCAACTAAGCCACTTTTCTTTGAGTCTTCAGCATTTAGCACTATCATCTTACCTACATCCAAAAGTCTTTGACCCAAGTTTTAATCGTAGGCAATGAGTGAGCCAAAAAAATTATCAATAGAATATTAATTCAAAATTTTTTATTCACAAATAGCAACAACTTTGGCATCAAATTTGTCAAGTAAATAATGTAGAATTTTATTGACTTTTTCAAACTTTGAAAACTCCTTTCCTAAAGCATATAATGATGTAACAATTTAAATAAATCTAGTATATATGTCCAAGATCATCTCATAATATTTCATACAAAAAAGTTCATAATCATGCATTAAAATATTCAACTTGGATTGCTTGATTTCACTAGTGCCTTCGTATATGGTATGTAATTTATCCCAAATTTTCTTACCAATTGTGCACGTGGAAACTAACATACAATCTTCAGAATTTAAAGCGCAGAAAAAATAGTTTAAATATTTTGCATTCAATTGAGCATTAATTTTCTCTTCTCTACTCCATTGATTAAAAAGAATATCAGTATTAATTCCATCTAAAATATGAGATGGTATAGAATAACGAGTTAAAATCATTTGTAACATTCAAAAATAAATTGATTGCAAAAAAGTAGACATGCAAAATTTTTAAAAATTAAAACTAATATTTTCAAATAAAGGTGGTTTGGTGATTGAATAACCTTCCGCAATATTACAATTAGAAAAATTAGCCATGGATTGAAAATTCAGAAGCTTTCAAAAAATTATTTTATGAATCCCGCTCTGATACTACTTGAAAGTTTGTTAGGAATTCTAGGCCCTTATGAACTAGCCCAAGGCTAATTAAGAGAGAGGTGAATTGGTATTTTAAAAAATCTTTCGCAATAAAAAGCCAACCCAAAATCCACCACAAAGAAAATACAATATAGAAATTAAGTGGAAATAATAAAAGAAAGAACACACAAGATTTATAGTGGTTCGATTAAAACTTGACCTACGTTTACTCATTGGAGGAACCCTCCGTGTATTGCACTAAACTCAGTGTCTCTCATTTAGCCCCCACACCTAGGCGGAGAAGCCCTTACAAAATCACTTCCACCTTCCCCGATGCGACAGAGTAGCCTGGTCTTTTGATACCAAAGAGATATTCTTCTTCCTAGAACTTCCCTCAAGATAAGCCTTAAATCTGATGGTACTAAGGTGCAAGCTCGCCGGAGCAACCGTGTGGAATCCCCCTCAACACTCCCTTGAAACCTCCTCCAAGGATCTTCTCCCTCTCTCAAACTCCATGCTTTCCTCTCTCCCTTTTAGCTCTCTCTTCAAGTTCCCTCCAAAAGAATGAAGCTATAATGGATACCAAAGACACACTTCATGAGAAAGCAATAGGTCTTTAAATAGATTTGCCAAACTAACATTATCGTTCAGGATTATCGATAGATCGTCCCGTATGATATGTATAAAAAGAGAGCTTTCAAAAACTCTAAAAACTCAATTTTGGCGCCAAACATTGTCTAGGACGGTCGAAGGATCATCCTGTACGATGTGCTTAAAAAGAGGACTTCAGAAAACCCTACAAACTCAATTTTGGTGCCCATAATCATCCTGGACAATCGCAGGATCGTCCCGTAAGATGTGTAGAATTTAACCTGATAGTTCTAGATGAAATTAGGATAGTCTAGAACGATTAGTACAAAAAATTTTCAAATTATCCAGGATGATGTTGTGGATCGTCCAAGACGATTAGAAGAAAAATTATGGTATTTCGGCTAGGATAATTTAGGAAAATCAAGTATGTCGGCAAACATTGTCCTGTACGATATATAGATAGTCAAGGAAGAACGGATTTAAAAATTTAACTATAATTAGTCCCCTAATCACAACATCAATTTAGGAATGTTTTGTATTGATCGTTCGGGACGATCTGATCGTCCGGGATGAATTGAACAAAAAAATTTAAACTTAAATCCTTGCCTAAATTATCATTGGTGGCTCTTTACCAAGATCATAAAGGATTTCCCTAGACGATCCAAAATCGTCCAGTACGATTAGTTCAAAACTTAATCTTCTGGATTTGACTAAATCTCACTCCCTTGAGTGTGTGTGTGTATGGTCACTAAGAAAGCATACACCCTTACAAGACTTGACTCAAGAAATAAAAAATTATATCAATGAATATTACAAACCCTTTTACATCATAACATTATTCAACCCAATCTCGAGATCTGATTCTTTGTTTGATGTTGTATGGTATTCCTGAAATGTTAGTATACACACAAACAAACATATATTATAAATACAAGTAGACTATAGAAAGTAAGCCGTAATATTTGTTATCATCAAAAAATAAACTCATAAGCTCGAGTTGCAACATTCCACATAAAAATCTTGGTGTATCATAAATGATACACCATCTCTCTTATCTGATTATGTGCCAAATTTTCATACAAACTTAAGATGTTAAATATTATGTTTCTCTATGTTAACTAATAAAAAAAAAGAAGAAAAAAGAGGACATGAAACAAAAATCCAAGAGATGTATTTCTTCATCAGTTTGATACAGAATGCAGTCTTACTATTATATGGATCGTCGGTGGACGCATCTATAGTGATCCTTATCAGGTTAACAAACCAAAATTTTAAGATTCACTATAATTCTATAACAAGTACTATGACTTTTTTTCTTGAGTTATGGAAAATTGTCAGGTCAATAGACTGAAATATCAAAATTAACTTCAATTATATAACTACAATAACATTTCCCTTGAGTTATGAATGATTATCAAAATAAACCAGGCCCAAATAGCTAGTAAATAAAACTTGAGCTGATGAGAGAGAGATTTCTATGACAGTTTATAATTGTTGATTTGTTAATATAAACACCATGTTTCTCTTCACCATATTCTCTCATCAGTTCTACTTGGATTAAAGTAGATGAAATAAATAGTTGAATCTTTTGTGTTGACAAATGAAACTACAACATAATTCTTGAAAGAGGTGACTTTAGTATAAGCAAAATTGCTGACAGATTACATTGAAGCCTGAAGATGGAGTATCTACGGTACTTAATTCTTATGCTAATTAATTGATAACATTTTTTTTATAGACAAAAAAGAATGTGAAAACTAAGGGTGCATTTGGGACGGCTTTTTCCCTGTTGTGCGGCACGAAACGTAACCTAGAGGTGGTTTGGCGTTACGCGGTCATGCTCCGGTCTGAAAATTTCTGCGTCCCGCAGTTGCTTTCTACATCCGAAGGAAGCCTCCTGCGTTCGGCTGCTTTCCGCTGTTCGTGGGTATGAGAAATACATGAATGCCCTTACATTTATCTGCGAAATATCCGTTGTCTTCTTTGGCATTCCTTTTTCCACAATCTCCATCCACATACGCATAGTACCTTAGCACAAAAGCCAGAGCCAGAACCACCCACTCCAAGCAGAAGATCGCCACTCCGAGGCCACCCACCATTCTCAATATGATCTCTCCATCATCCACCCTTACATAAGACCTGAGCTCGCCGAGAAGAAATTCCGATGTTCTCGAAAAGACGAGAATAGCCACGGCGCCTTGCAAGATGGCGGTGAGCACTGTGGCCACCATGTGGGTGCCGTACCACTTGTTGGAGGTTGAGTTGGCAGCGGCACAGCCGGAGATGGCGCCAGCGATGGTGAGGGCTTGGAGGAGTATGAGAAGGAAGCCAATGGCGGAGGGGATCAGGCGGAGTGAGAGAGTGAGGAAGATGCAGCTCGAGGCGGCACCGAGGAGGATGTAGTTTGACAGGAGGAAGATCTTGTGGGTGCGATAGTGAGCGGCGCTCATGTCTGACAAAGCTGTAGAGGATAACCCCATGGCAGAGAGATATTAGATAATTTAAAAAAAAAAAAAACCAGAGCATATTTATATTATTACGATAGAATGTTTTATTATAAAATAATATTAGATAATTTATGTTTTATTATAAAATAATATTAGATAATTTAAAATTTTAACAAATTATTTTGAAGTAAGATAATACAATGTCAATAAAAAATTATAGTATTTTTTATATATAAACTTATAAAATATTTGATAAAATAATTTGATTTTAATTCAAAATTATTAGTTTCTTATCATAAAAATTTGAAAAGAAATTAAATTTGAATAAAATTTATTCATCTTCATACATATAAGGGTATAAATGTAATTTATTCTTATACAGCTGCAGCACAACAACTTGACAATTATACTTTCCAAACAAAATGTATTGCTTTATGTACAGTAATTTCAAAAAGCAACTTTCTGTACACTAATTTTATGACCTGCTTTACCGACAGCTACAGCCGTCCCAAACGGACTCTAAAAGATTCATGCATTCACGAAAAGAAAAATAAGCAGTTTTTTTTAGCTATTGCAGAACAACAATTTGCTCCTCTAAAATATTAAAATTAAACTCTAAAATTATATTTAAATTCGTAATAATAATCAATAGCCAACTATTAAAAAAAAAAAGAGTGCGTATGTGCTGTCACTATTTCAAATCCAACAGACACATTTCTTCAAATACTTCACCTCCAACGCGACCCCACTTGGCAAAACAACGCAACTATTCAACTCAAAACCGTTCTTCAATAATGCTGTCAATAAAAAGAGAAAAAAAATTGAAAGGGAGGATTCTTTTTTTCTGGACCTTTGTTCGGTTTTGATCAAACTCCATTGAACGCCAAATAAAGCCGACGCAACCTTCGATTGCGAACTGCCGGCGATCACAAGCCCGTCTCCAATTGCAAAACCAAATTCCTATCTACAGGTAAAATTAAGCCTCTTATTTTGCAATTTCCAGCGATCACAAGCCCGTCTCCACTGCCGCCCTTCAAACCCAGTTGCCTTCTTCCTCACTTCCTCCAAATCCCGCACAGACAAGTGTTCGGCCCTATGCGAACTCCAAATCCCGCCACTAATCTTCACTCGACTTCTTCTCTCACGGCCGAATCTAAGCCTAAATGCACTCTGCTTGCCGTTGAACCTGCACCATCGTCTTCAATGAATATATTCTCTACTAAAAAAGATCATAATTATTGCACGTTTTTCCATGCCTCTTACATGAACCTGTCCATTTTATAAGTAAACAGTAAAAGCCTTGGCTAATTGGCTACAACTGTCAACTTGCAATGATGGATATTCTTCTTTATCTCATTCAAGAAGTAGATTAAAAAAAAAAGATTTTATAAATCTGATTTCGAATCTGATTTTATAAATAAAAATCATATTATATATATATATATATATATTATGTGTATAAGTTGTGCACAGGATGTGCATAAATCTATGGACTCGTATACTATGAGATATGCATTGGGGTTGTCTTCTCCATTTCATTCCATGTTTAGTTTTAGGTACTTTATTTCATTACAAAATGAGTACTTTTTTCTCTATGCTTTTTTTCCAATATAAATATGTTCATATCACTCTAATTGGAAGTGGGAAAACAGTGATCCAATTGTGAATGATTTCTTATTTGAAAAGCATTTTTAAATTTTTTTTTAATCCAAATACAATAATCAAGAAAAAAAAATTTTGCAATTATATTCTGATCATTACGAAAAGGTGCACCAGAAGTGGTGCACAAGAAGTGGGTAAACACATCTCTCATATTGTACCAAAGCCTTGGACATTAAAATCCATTCAAAAAGATCAAAACAGCAAAGAAAAAAAATTTAATTAAATTAAAGGAAGCTTTTGTATCTTTTGGTGATAAACAAATGCAATCATGCTTTCTATGTGGTGTTGTCAATCACAATGGCGGGCTTTGTCTGAAGAATCAAAATCTTGTTGAAGGTCTTTTTACGAAAAAGGATCTTCATGTTCTTTGCGCCACAAATATTCTTGCACATGGAGTTAACTTACCTGTGCACACAGTGGTGATTAAATCAACTCAATATTTCAATAAGAAAAAAAGGTGTCTCTACTTGGAGTACCATCAATCTTTAGTATTGCAGGCATGCTACAAGAAAATTAGCGTTTCCATCATTCAACCTATGTTCAAACTGATCAACACACAACAACTCAACAATATAAATAAATCTTCAAACAAAATAATTCAACTAAAAAAAAAACTACTCACTCAAATCTCAATAGCAACTCAAACAAAACTCCACAAATTCCTATACAAAACTCCCTACAATCATAACCGAAACTCTCCAACAGAACAACCTAATCTCCGAGCTCCCCAAAGTCTCTTCTATACGAGCTCCTGCAACAAATAAATTAATTTCATTTAGCATTATAATTAAAATAATATTAAATTTAATGCTAAAGCAAAAAATATTACAGTAAACTACTAGTATACTGGTGTAGAAAGAAAAATAATCTATGAAAACATAAAGGAAAACTACTGTAGCAAAAGAACACTAGTGTTACAACAACAACTAGTCAAACTAGTAAGTAGAACTACTAGAAAAAAAAAAAAAAAAACCGCGTTGATCTAGTATCAAACAAGTATTGTCTACTAAAACAATCAAATTCAAACATATGGGTAGCCTTGTTATAAGACCCACTACCCGGCAACTTTCGTAGGAAAGTCGTAAGCCATACCTTAGGGGGAAATTTTAGGAAAAAATTATCCTAATTCCTAATCTCTAATTAAAACTTTCCCGGCCACTTCTAATATAAGTCGTAAGTCTGACCTCTGAGGAAAATGTTTGGGTGATAATACAACCCTAGACCCCTCACTCGGGCATCCTAGTCTAAAAGGGCTAGGTTCTAATACCCACAACTCGGGCCACATAGCTTAAAGTGCTAGGTCATAAGACCCATCATTAGGCAACTTCTAAGGAAGCAATAAGACCTACCCAACTAAAAATATTTGGGCTACCTTCAATGAAGGGTGTAAATCCCACTAATTCGGGCTACTTTCTATGAAAATCATAAGTCCCAAACTAAAATTCAAAATTTTGGGCATCCTATTCTATAGGATTAGGTTGCAAGACCCATTTTTGGGAAACTTCTAATTGAAGTCGTAAGCCCCAACATTTTAGGAAAATTACTAAATAAATTATAATGAATCTAAAACACAAATAATCTAATTCAAACCTACGGGCATCTTAGCCTATAGGGTTAGGTTGTAAGGCCCACCTTCGGGCTACTTTCTATGAAAGCCATAAGTCCCAATTTAAATCAAATACTTGTGTTACTTTCTACGAAAGTCATAAATCCCAATCTAGATTTAAATCCTCGGGCAACTCCTAATTGGACCCGTAAGCCCCAACCTAAACAAATGAACAGGGAACTCCTAATTAAAGCAGTAAGCTCCATTCTAAATCAAATTCTCGGGCAACTCCTTAATAAAGCCGTAAGCCCAAAACTAAATAATAAAAGGGAAACTTCTAAGGAAGACATAATCCCCAACCCAAATTAAACAAAACTAAAATTCACACATTTTCACTTCAGTCTACTCGGGATCCCTGAGAGGAGGTAACCCATGGCTGCTAATCAGATTCCCTGGACACTACGGTCAATGATTGTTAGTGTTGGTAGACTGAAACCTACGGTATACCTGGTACGACGGATCTATGGGATCTTGATTGGGTTTACCTCCATTTCCCCCACAATTGAGACTAAAATTACCTAAAATATATTCATCCTTAATCGAGAGTTCTCTCTTACGTGTTAAGAGGGGGAATTAACTATGAGTTCTTGCGCTTATAGGAAGTAAGAACCCCAGATCTATAAACCGTGACACTACCATCAGGGAAAATCTGTTTAATTCCAATCTGACTTAAGGGAAGTGGAATCCTACAGCTGCAAAGCAGGATTCGTGCATTTAGGCAGATTTTTCTTGAGCCAATAGATTTCTAGCGACTCCGCTGGGGATTACTTTTCTCTCCATCTTTGGATGAAAAGACAATTTATATTTAGTCTCACATAATGAAACATCTAAAAAATATATATAGATGTTTATTCAACACAGTTATGTATTTTGTTTTCCAGCAGAATTCAGGTTGACTCTAATCCCTGTAAGTTCTGTTGACAGGTTGATAACATGACACCTGCAAAGTCCTTCATGACTGTGAAACTAAGTGAAGGAGCTAGAGTGAATTCCCTCAAGCTGTTCTAAACACAGGCTATGTTGAAGCAACCATTCAATTTGGAACTATTTCTGAAGTCATGCAGTTCGAACAGTTCATTCCTGAGAATACTGTTAGTGCACCTACTGCCAAAGGTGTCGCTAAGAAGCCTACTTCTGAAGCTATTAATGAGAAGGATCCTAAGAGGGCCTCTGTATTTTCAAGGCTCTCTATGACACCTACTACTGCTCCAGTAATTTAAAAGAAAGTTTCTGATCTCAAGCTATAATCTGTTGGCGTGAATACAACCAGTCAGAATATAATCCAGGATGAAGTGCCTGAAGAATACAATGCTGAAGTTCCTGATGTAAATACTAAAATTTTCAGAAAAACTATAAGAAATACTAATGCTCTCTTATGACCTAATGGCTGGGTGCCTGAGACCCTTCAAGAATCATCATTGTAGTTAGAAGAAAATTACCAGTTAATAATGGCTTTGAACCGTTAAAATGGATAAAAAGAAATGATGATAAGGGCCACTTAAAGAAGTCTTTCTGGGAGACTTTGCATCAACAACCACTACCCCAAAGAAGGAAGAATCAGCCTCTTCCAAAATTTATAAAATACTGAAGGCTGTCAAAGATAGAAGTCTACAACGAAGACTGAGGAAATCTGTTACTGAAGTTTTTTCCTCAGATATGATTCGTCCTCAGAATAATAAATTCTCAACAAGACCTTATAGAGAGGAGTTTAGATGTCCTCCAAACTACCAAAAGCCAATAGAATTCTGTCCTAATATGGGTCGATACCCATATTATGGAAGAAAATAGTTGGGAGAGCCTTCTAATAATTTACTTACAAGAGACTATAATAGAAGATATGATGAACGAAGGCCCCAACAATGGCATCATAGATCTGCCCATTCAAAGGTACATTCCAATACTGGTGGTCATCGTTTTGTGACTCCTAGAAGACAGCAAGATTGGGTTCCCAAAAGACCCACATATCCTCGAGCTCAGAGGGATGATCGTGATAAAAAAATTTATAAAGAGCGACTTAAATCTCATGTCTAGAAGTTATCCCCTAATAAGGAGACTTTTGTTGATGTGATTAAACCGAAAGAAGAAAGCTGTCAAGTATATAAATAATCCCTCGACTCTCCAGTCATACACTGGAAGCGGTGGTCCCAACTTGGAGAAGATCATGAGTTGGAAGAAGATGATAATTATAATGATAATGATGAAGAAGTGGAAGAGGGTATTGGTCCCATGGATGTTGAAGTTGTTCGTATGGTTGATCATATACCTGATATAGCTAATTAGCGGCATACTTGTAGAAATGCAAAGTTGAATTTGCAAAATGAAGAACAAATACGAGATGACCAAGAACTAGCAGCATCTATGAATAGAATTCCACAATCAGAGAAAGTTGAGAAGATAAAAGTTGAAGAAGTTCTAAAGAAGTTATAATCGGAAATGCAATCTATGCAACAAAGGAAAGATCTTGAAATCCATCATTTAAATACTCATCTTGATGAAATTAGTAATATGATGAACAGTTATTTAGACAACTCGGCATGATGGCTACAACTAACCAACCACCCGTAGCAAATACTCAAGGAAATTTTCAAATTACTCCTGATGTTGTGCTCACTCCTGACAGAAGATTTGATGCGTTAGAGGAGCCAATACTAATACCCCTAAAGAAAGTGAAATGGTCAGAAATGCTCAAATTTAAAATCTTATCACTCAAAAATTGAAAACAGTTATTGCTTCTGAGCTGCTGAAGCTTTAGTTGGGAAAAGTCATCTGTATCTGGTGGAATATGACCAAGAAAAGTATCCAAAGGGGTATATAGTGCTAAAATTCAATTTGTTTGATGGTACTACAAATCCTCGTCAACAGCTGGCACAATTCAAAGCTACCTGTGGAAATACAGGAGGCAATGATGCTCTGTTACAACGTCAATTTGTTAGCAGTTTAACAGGTACAACCTTTAAATGGTATGCTAAGTTACCCAATGACTCAGTAAGAACATTCACCGAATTAGAGACGATGTTCATTAAAAGATTCGTCAGTGAAACAAAGAAGGTGACTACGCTGACCTCGCTCTTGAGAAAGGAAAAAAGGGAGGAATCAGTCACCAAGTACATAACCAGGTGGAGAAATCTCAGCATAAAATGTGAGCAACAACTCACTGAGAAACATGCTGTCGAGTTATTACTAGGAAATATAGATGATTATATGGCTCCGTATCTAGCGATGGCTACAATTAATACATTTCAGGAGTTACTTGATCGTGTAGCAAAATTTGAAAGGTTACCCAAACCTAGAAGTGCTGGCTTCAATTATAATAATAATCCATCAGGAAAAGGGAAACAAATCAAAATCTTTGATCCAAAAAGAAGTGAGGTGAATACCACATTCCTGTATTTCTCAGAGAAAAAAAGAAAAAGAAGATTCAATGAATCCGTCGAAGATGCTGAAACAAATAAAAGAAATACAAAGATCTCCTACTTTACAAGAGAAAATTAACAAGCTGTATTCTTTAAAAAGGAGTGCACGAGAAAGATTTTTATGCAAGCCCTAAAAATCGGCCTTCAATTGCCAGAATCTCGCCGACTAGAATAGGCTGGCATGACAGATGATCCAAATTGTTGTCTATATTATAGGATCATAAGCCACCCAATCGAAGACTGTTTCATATTCAAAGATTGGGTCGAAAGGAATTATCAGAATGGTGAACTTACACTTTTTAATAGTGTCCTTACAAATCTTAAGAGGGAGAAAATCAATGTTATATCCTCTACTCCCTGTCAAAGCACAGAGAATGAGAAAGGGAAAGCACCCCAAGAAGATGAAGGTGATTGGGAGACCTTTATCTATAAGAAAACTAAACAAATGATGAATGTCTTACTAGCATTTAAGGCGTTCGTCGTAAGAGTGTATTAGAATTGGAAGTTGATCCAAAACTTCTTTCTTCAAAAAACCCAGTGACAGGAGGGCCCAGTTTGAGTAAGAAGAAACTTTCAAAATATTTCAAAGACCAAAATGGAAAGCGTAAGCCTGGATCAAAATCTCAGAAAAGAAAGAAGAAGAAATTAACAAGACAGAACTCTGTAATACAAAAATACATCGTTTCTTTTTTGATAGTTTTACTTTTGATCTCATTCCTTCCTTGTTGTCTA